GGCCGGAGAAATAGTTCAGCCGTCTTGACCCTTGCCTTGCATGTGGCTGACCTGGGTATGATCCCAGCAAAAAAAAGTGTAGGCACCTTCCCTCCCCCGCCCCCCCCCCCAAAAAAAAAACAGGGAAGGATGAAAAGAATGGATGGAGATTGAAAATGTTGAATTGGAGGGGAGGGGACGGGTAGCACATCCAGTGGTGCTCAGGACTTCTCTTGGCTCTGCGCTCAGGAATTACTCCTGGCGGTGCTTGGGGACCAAATGGGATGTTGGGAATTAAACTGCGGGTGCCACGTGCAAGCCTAGCACTCTTATCAACTGTACTACTACTCTCTGGCCCTGGATTTTAGTTTTAAAGCTAGGAGAATTCTAGTTGATGGCTGAATGGAGTGAGTTACAGAATGGGAGTGATAAAGTAATTAGAAACCAAATTGTAGTTATGAGAAAACTTCCTGGATAATATATAGGGTCCACAGATGAGAAATGAAACTGAGAATCTTTCTCTGAGATTTGAGTGAAGGGGTATAAATTCACAATAGGTATGCTTTTCTTTCTTATTTACTGAGTAAAAATGGGAAAACAAGCTGGCATTTTGTTCTCTTTGTATATTTAGCATTTTTGCTGGGAGTGAAAGTTTTGAAAAACATTTGGGACAAACGTAAAAATGTAAAAACTGAGGTTATTTATTTTGTTATTTATTGGGTTTGGGACCACAGCTGGTGACACCACTTGTCGCTGTGTGCTCAGGAAGCTCTTGGCAGTGTTCTGGGAATATCTGAGTTCATATTGGTGCCAAAGATCAAACTTGGGCCTCCAGCATCTGAAGCACGCATGTTGTCCTTTGAGCTATCTCTTTGGTCTGAAGTTTGTTATTTAAAACGTTCTCCCAAAGCAAATGAGGATAATGAATATGTATATATTTTGTTTTTTTTGTTTGTTTTGGTCACAGCGATGTTCACCGGGTTACTCCTAGCTCTATACTCAGGAATTACTCTTGGTGGTGCTAGGACCAGATGGAATGCTAGGGATCAAACTCGGGTTGGCTATGTGCAAGGCAAACGCCTTCCCCACTGTACTGCCCCTTCAGCCCTAATGAATACTTTAACTTGCTTTTTAAAAATAAAGTTGCTAGAGTAACATGACTTTAGGGTAGTAATTTTATTTCTCTTACTCTTTGTTGTTCTCTAAATTTTAATGTACCTCTTTTGGAGGTGGGGTTGTGGGATGGGGGAGGACACCTCTAGCAGTTCTCTTGCCCTGCACTCAGGAAACACTTTGTGGGAATGAGTGATCCCTGCACTCAGGAATCACTCCTGACTGCTCGGCGGACCACATGGGATGCTGAGAATTGAACTCAAGTTGACCACCTGTAAGACAAGCACCTTACCCACTGTACTATCTCTCTGGCCCTACAATGTGTTTTATTTCTAACTTAAAGAAAAAAAAAATAAAACCTTGTATCACTGATCCATTGTAATGTTATCCCACTAATAATAATCTTTGATAGAACTTTTTTAAGGATACAGATAATAGTTCTATTTGGGTGGAAGTTGGGGTCCATACTTGACGATGCTCGGGGCTTGCGAAATACTGTGATGGTGGGGCTGGAGCGATAGTACAGTGGGTAGGACATTTGCCTTGCACGCGGCCGTTCTAGGTTCAATTCCCAGCATCCCATATGGTCCCCCGAGCATTGCCAGGAGTAATTTCTGAGTGCATGAGCCAGGAGTAACCCCTGTGCAATGCCAGTTGTGACCCCCCCCAAAAAAAAAGTTATTGTGATGTGGGCTGGGTTTGATTCCCTTCACCCCCATGGTTACCGAGCCCCGCCAAGGGTGATCTGAGCTCAGAGCCAGCACTAAGTCTGAGCACCACTGGGTGTGCCTGCAAAACAGAAAATGAAACACAAATACTCTGATGGGGATTGACGCCCTGCATTATTACCTACCCTGATTTTATCCTTTATCCCAGATATCACATGTCCCTTGAGCATCATCAGGAGTGGTTCCTGAGCACAGAGCTATATGTAAACCTTGAGTGCCATTGGGTGTGTCTCAACCCCCTCACCCTCTACACACATATACACACAAAGTTCCCCCCATCACTACGCAGAATACCTGTGCTATACTCATTGGATTTGTGGCAGAGAGCTTATTCAGCCTAAAGAGCCAGATTTGTTTTAGTTTGGTTTTTGCTTGGTTATTGATTTATTTTGTTTGGGGGAGGGCACACCCAGTGATGCTCAGGGCTTGGTTCTGGGTCCTGCCGGTGGCTGGGGAGACCAGGTAGTGCTGAGAACTGAAGCCAGGCCTCTGGCATAGAGAACATATGCTCAGCCCTCCCTGGCCCTGTATTTGTTCTTTATCTTTTTGTATTGTTGACCTTAGAAGCAATTTTACTTGATACCAGTATAATCGCCAGCTTTGTGAGGGTGGGGGTGGGGTCCTGATATCTTTGACTTTGAAACTTTTTGTGACCTTACATTGTAGCTATAGTTTTTAAAATTGTCACATGGTGGACCTGAGCAATAGTAAAGCAGGTAAGGCACTTGCTTTGCACACAGTCAACCCTGGTTTGATCACCAGCATTCCATATGGTGCCCTGAGTACTGCCAGGAGTAATTCCTGAGTGCAGAGCAAGGAGTAACCCCTGAGCACTACCAGGTGTGGTGTGGCCCCAAAACAAAACAAAATTAAAAAAAAAACAAAAATTTTCACTCACTTTTAATTTCCATTTTCTTACTATTTAAACAAAGAACTTCTATTATGAATAACATGATGGAATTATTTTTCACTTGGTATGCTTTTAATTTGTTCTGAAATTTTGGGGGAGAGAGGCATATGTACTAGTGCTTGGGGGTGCTCCTATAGTGGCTGTGTTCTTGGGCATCACCCCCAGTGGTTTGGGGGATGGGACCTGGACCAAAGTGTGCACTCAGCCTGTGGAGCTGTCTTACTCGTCCCGAGGGCACCTAGTTTCCGTGCTGGAAGCTCAGGTTCAGCTCTGCGTTTCACCTGGTTCCCAGAATACTATTGCAGAAGTAACTTCTAAGTGCTATCTTGTCTGGATAAACCAGTGTGTGAGTGTTGTTACCGAACACATTGTGAGTACAGCTGGTGGGCAAGTGTGTTGGGGATCAGAGAGATAGTACAATGTAGATAAGGTGCTTGCTTCGCGTGCAGGTGACTTGGGTTCAATTCCTGGTACCATATGTCGTCCCCTAAGCACTGCTGGGTGTTGCCTCCCAAACTAAAATAATAAAACAATTTTTTTTTTTTTTTGATTTTTTGGGTCACACCTGGCGATGCACAGGGGTTACTCCTGACTCATGCACTCAGGAATTACTCCTGGCGGTGCTCGGGGAACCATATGGGATGCTAGGAATCGAACCTGGTTGGTCGCGTACAAGGCAAACGCCCTACCCACTATACTATCACTCCAGCCCCTAAAACAATTTTTTAAAGCAGTTTTTTCCCCATGAAAGATTGCGTTGCATGTATGATTAGTTCCTTAGGAAGGTTCTCTGACTTTTTGATACTTTTTGTTTTGGGGCCACATTTGTCAGTGCTCGGGGCTTACTCCTATCTCTGTGTTCAGAGATCACTCCTGAAGGGGCTCGGGGGACCAAATGCAGCCACAGGGGTTTTGTTAGGATTGGCTGCCTACAAAGCAAGTGCCTCAGCCCCTCTACTGTCTCTTGGGCCCCTGACATGAACACATTACTTTTAAATTATGAAGAAAAATTCTGATATATATAATAGAATAATATAGGAAGCACTGCCAGAACTTCTTTTTTTTGGTGGGGGCCTTCTCACTACATGCTGCTTGGGGTACCATAAGGCAAGAGCTTCGGTTTTTCTCATCATTTTCTTGATCCCTCATCGACTTTTAGGCACTTGATTTTGCTTTGTCTTGGGACCACACCCAGCAGTGCTCACATTTTACTCCTGGTGGGTTGCTGGGGGTTGAACCTGGTCAGCCGCATACAAGGCGAGTGCAGCTGTACTCCAACCTTTTTTAGGCGCTTTATTTATTTATTTTTATTGAAACACTCTAAGATACAGTTACAAAGCTTTCTTTGAGTTTCATTCATACAGTGATCCCTCCACCAGTGTCCCCAGTATCCCTCCCGCCACTCCCACTCCTCCCCCTCCTTTATGACAGGCAGTTTTCTTCTTTCTCTGTTGGGGGCATTATGGTTTGCAAAACATGAGAGGCCGTCGTGTTTGGTCCTTTGTCTACTTTCAGCACACATCTCCCATCCCAAGCGATCCCTCCAACCATTATTGACTTAGTGGTCCCTTCCCTTTCCCAACTGCCTTCTCTCCCAGCACATGAAGTAGGCTTCCAACTGAGACCAGGCTGAGGCAATAGTACAGCAGGTAGGGCATTTGCCTTGCATGCAGCTGACTTGGGTTTGATCCCCAGCAACCTATGTGGTCCCCGAAGTTCAAATCTGCCAGGAGTGATTTCTTAGGGCAGAGTCAGGAATAAACCCTGAGTACAGGTGTGGTCCAACACCAAAAAAGCTAGTCTAAGACCATATCATCAGTGAAAAAACAATGAATTTTTGTAATGTACCATCAGTATCTGCATTTGAAAATATTTACACATTGTTTACTTCGGTTTGGGGGCCAAACCTGGCAGTGCTCAGGAGCTGTTCACGTAAGGTGCCCTGGAACCTCTGTGCTGGGGGTTTGCTCCTGGCTGTGCTTGGGGCAGGATCAAACCAGATTTTCCTGCCGGTGAAGCATGTGCTGCAGCCCACTGGGTTCTTTCTCTGTCCCCTGCAAATACACTTAAGCATATTTTGATAGTAGTGAAAATTACAAGAGATGTAATTCGTAAGTTTTGAATTAGGCATTTAAGAAAATATGAAGTAGTTGAAAAGGGAAATATATAAACATTTGGAGGAAATTTAACCAAGTATTTCCAACCAAGTATTTCTATAACTAGAAAGATACTAACATATAGTACAGTGAACTATTAATGTTCTTTTCTAGAAACGACTACAGAAAGAACTGTTGGCTTTGCAAAATGACCCACCTCCTGGGATGACTTTAAATGAAAAAAGTGTTCAAAATTCAATTACACAGTAAGTAATTTTAAAATTAAATACCTGTTTCTTTCATTATTAATGCAGTATGTGAATATATTCTCATTTAAAAAGTTTCCTGCTAACGAGCCAGCATTTTAAACCTTATGAAATCATCTTCATCTATAATAGAGTAGCCTGAGGTTATCAAATATTTAAAAATCATTTAATGTTTTAAAAAGAATAGTTGAGATCCAACCCATTCCTGTCCCCTAAACACAGGATCTCCTGTACAGAAGGGTAACTAAAGAAATATCCAATTCCAGCAGTCTCATTTGATAGATGAGAAATATTTTCATGAGAATAAAAAATGTCAGGGGTGGAAGGAGGGCATGGAACTATCTTCTCTAATTTCACTTCTTCCTTCAGGAGGTCCTTTTCTTTCTCCTGCACCCACAGTTTTTTCCTAAAAGGAAAAAGCTCCCATGATTAGGAGACCCTGTGGCCGTCCCTGATCTTTAATTGGCCAGCCAGGTTAGACTGTTTGGCTGCTGAGGCCCAGCAGTATGTGGCGGGCTTCTGCTGTGCTGTGTGGTTCTTGGGGAACCAGGCATTTTAGGGGCTCAGCTCCCTGTGCGTTGGAGGCATGTGACCCTGTGACTGAGCTGTCCTTCAGTCCTCACCGTCCCTTTCCCCTTCTATTGTGAATGGTGCCAGGGTTTGACTCCAGGATCTCATATGACCTGGAAGATCCCTGGTCAGAAAACCCCTTCACAAACATGATCCCAAAAAAAATGTTGAGAGAGGGGGCTAGAGCCATAGCCCAGCGGGTAGGGTGTTTGCCTTGCATGCAGCTGACCCGGGTTCGATTCTCAGCATCCTGTATGGTCCCCCAGCACCACCAGGAATGATTCCTGAGTGCAGAGCCAGGAGTAACCCCTGTGCATTGCTGGGTGTGACCCAAAAAGCAAAATTTTAAAAAAAGAGAGAGAAATGTTGAGAGATCCCAGTCCCCCTCCCCCCCCCCCACCACAAATGAGCATTTGAATTAATTTGATTAGTTTGAAATGTTTTCAGGAGTGTTTTTCCTCAGATCTTATAACTAGTATACTATATCCTTATTATTTATATTTGATTTATTATTTATATTTTCTTTTGGCGTGGGGGTTTGGGCTATATCTGGTGATGTCTAGGGTTTATTCTTGACAGCACTGAGAAATGAACTCCTGGTGGCACACAGTGGACCACATGGGATCCTGCTGCATTATTGCTCTGGCCTGATTTAATAGTTCTGTTTGAGTATAATAAATACTTAAATGGAAATTTTAAAATATTGACTCTCAAACACAAAACCCCAACTCCCCAGACATAAAAAGAATAGAAACTCACAGGTTAAAATTTGCTAAGGCCAACTTACAAGACAGATAATTATATTTGTGTTTTAGGCTCAGAGAGCAGAAACAACCCAAATTTATATAAGGGCATGCTTTATCATATCAGAAGAAAATATTTTATCTCTGACTTTGACTTTTGAGTCAGTCTTTAGATTATAGCTAGGCTTTAAGAACAAGGTTATAATGTTTGGATGGATATATTTGTATTTGAACATATGGTACACCTCTGTAGCTCTGTAACAATCTTGAAAACATTATTGGGTTCTCACGACTGTTTTTTTTTTGTTGTTGTTGTTGTTGTTTTGTGAACACACAACTGTACTCAGGACTTGCTCCTCGCTCTGTACAAAGAGATCACTCCTGGCAGGGCTTGGGGGACCTATGTGGTGCCAAGGATCAATTCAGGACGGCCGCATGCCTGGCAAGCACCTAACCTGCTGTCAGTTAACTGTAAAAAAAAAAAAAAGAAAAAGACTTCAAAGAGTTGCTTAGGTTCACTACAAAAATGAGGAAAAAGTAGAGCGTTCCTGTATACCCACTGAACCCACATCTACACAGGCTCCCTGTTAACAGCAACCATCCCGGATCATCATTGGAGTAGTTTTGTTACATTTATGAAATTACATTGACACATCACAATCACTCAAAGCCTGTTCTTCACATTCCTGTTTACTGTTAGTATTGTATATTCTATGAATTTTGGCAAATGTGCAATGATATGTATTGTTACTGTATCATACAGAGTATTTACTACCTTAACAATTACCTGTATTCCATTTAATTATTCCCCCACCTGATAATCCCTGATAACTACTGACTTTTTCCTATCTTTAGTTTCTTTTCCTAGTATGTCGTAGTTCTTAGAACTATATGGTATATAATCTTTTCTAACTGGCCTTTTTTTCTTTAATGTACATTTAAAATTCTTATATTTTTGTGAATTTTAGTTGATTTTTTTTTATAAGCAAAATTTGAAAATGGAGCACACATTTGGAGTGTATGTGTTTGTTTTGTATAATTAAGCAAATGGATTGTGCTTAATTTTTGCCTTTTTCCTCTTTTTTTTTTTTTTAAGACATTCCCGGAGTATCCTACAATAACAGATTTTATAGCTTTTTTTTCTGTGGGGGAAGAAGCTGGGGAAAAGGGTGTGGGTTCATAGTTGATGCTCAGGATCTACTCCCAACTTTGTGTTTGGGAGGGGGATCATGTAATACCATGTGACCATTCCTCCCCCATGCAAAGAATCAACTCCAGCCCTTTGAGCTACCTACCCAGACAAGCTTTATAGTTAAAGTAATTGCTATTAATCATTTCTTTCTTCTTTTAACTTTGCCCTATAGGGGAGCCTAGAGGAATCACACAATCCAGTGATTTTCATAAAAAGAAAGAAAGTGTGTGGGTTCAAATTAAAAGTACAGTGGGAAGGGAACTTGCTTTTCATGTAAACTCTAGATTTGATCCTTGGCACCACATATAAAATACCCTGAACGGGAGCCGGAGAGATAGTACAGTGGGTAGGGCGTTTCCCTTGCACATGGCCAACCTGGGGTCGATCCCCGGCATCCCATAAGGCCCCCCAGCACTTCCAGAAGTAATTCCTGAGTGCAGAGCCAGGAGTAACCCCTGAGCATCGCCAGGTGTGACCCAAAAAGCAAAGCAAAGAAAAGACCATAAAATTCCCTGAACATAACCAGGAGCATTGCTGGGTGTGTCCCAAAAATAAAACAAAAAGAATTTTCCATTTTTACCAATAGAAACATTTGTATAAATTATCAAGTAGTTGGCATCATGAGGGTTTTCTTTTGTTTGGTTTTTGGGGGACTGCCACACACAAATGGTATTCAGTCTTTACCCCTGACTCTGCACTCACGGACCACTCCTGGCAGGTTTGGGGGACTATATGGGGTGCTGGCGCTAGAACCCAGATCACCTATATGTAAGGCAAGTGCTCTACCATTGCTTCGGCTCTAACACTGTAAGTTCTAACTGCTAAAATAACATTTTGTTGCATTAAAAAATCAGTCATTTAGAACTTTTTATGAGGCCAGACTTTTTTTTTTTTGAGGCCAAACTTTTAAAGGAAATTTTTTTCCCCCTTTATGTGGTGCTGGGAAATCAAATCAGGTTAACCATGTGCACAGCAAATGCCTTAATCCCTGTTCTCTTTCGCCCCAATTTAGTGTGAATGAAACATCAAAGTTTTGTTGTCTTTTTGGATCATTTTCCTGAATATCAAAATAGTGTTAGGATCAAGGAGCTGGTTCAAGTAGTAGAGCACATGTGGGAGGTTGAGTTCTATTCTTGGCATGTAATCATTTATGCCTTCTCCCCCCCACCCCCTCTCGCCCAGTCTAAGCAGCACTACATCACCAGGCTGAGCACGGACCCCGCCCCCCCCCCCCCGTGTCCCCCTTTGCCAGATCAAAAGGCATCCCCAAGGGTGTCCCCTAGGATTCGCGCCTGCGCCCCAAATAAAAACTGCTGGGTGTTGCTCTTTCAAAATCATGTTGGGGCCTGGATGATAGCGTCATGAGCTAGAGTGAATGATTTTCATGCAGGTCACCCAAGTTCAGTTCCTTTCACTGACACCCCTGTCCCCTCCTGCCTCCCGTGCTATAACACCAGAGCATCTCTGAGGAATGGGCCGTAAACGAAAGCAAAAATCTTAATAAAGATCAGATCTTAAACTCTATTTTTGCTATTTGTGTTTGGCTTTGGAGCAGCACCGGCAAAATGCTTAGGGACTCCTAGCGGTGGGTGCTAGGCGAGTCACACCAGGCCTTGCTGGGGGTTTAACTCTGGCTTCTTTGTGCTCGCTCTCTGACTCCTTAAAATAGCTTTTTAAGTGGGTCTATATTAAATGTGGAAGTGGATAAGGAGACTGATGAAGCATACAGAGCTTGTTGGATGATGGCTTTTAGGCTGTTTTAAGATCTTAAAAAATACGGGACAAAGGGGACCAGGAGCTCAATGGGTTAAGTGCATGCTTTGCATGCGAGATGTCTTGGTTGGATTCACAGCATTGCATGGTTCCCCAAGCACAGAGCTCAAAGTAACCCCTTAGTCCACTTAAGTATGGCCTCAAACCACCACCCTAAAAAAAGTCAGTATACAAAATGTAAGTGTAATGTTAATTTCTGAATAAGAAATGTACTTGATTTATATGTATGTTATTCTACATGAGAAATAAAAATGTAGCAAGATTGACTTAGAGCTATACTTAATTCAATAAAATGTATATATCATTACTTATACATATTAACAGACTAAATAACGACAATAGGAGGGAGCTGCTTCTTTCTTTTTTTCCTTTTGGTTTTTTGGTCTATTCCTGGTTCTGTGGGCAGGAGTGCCTCCTGGAGGTGCTTGGGGGACATATGTGGTGTCAAAAATTCAGACCCAGGTCAGCATATGCTAGACAAGTTTAGTAAAAAGTAATTTAAAATTACCAAACACAGTGTTGAAAATTAAACCTTCTTTCACTTATTTCACCAAGATATTTACTTAGCTATTCTGTATAGGCTAGGCTTGGATAGGTCACATGTAAATTTATGGTAAATCATGTATTCCAAAAATCACCTTATAAATTAAATGAAAGCATTGCAGGAAGTTCTATTTTCCCATGGACTGTCACTCTGCAGAGCGTGTGTCTGGGGAGGAATGTGAAAGAGAATCCTGTGTGGGGCAGCCCACACCTGCGGTCTTCAGGGACTGTTCCTCACTGCCCAGCAGAGAGCCTGGGCGATGCTCAGTGACCCAGGTGTAGTGCTAGAGATTGAACAGGGACCACAGGCAAGGCAAACATCTCACTTCCTGAACTGTCTTCTGGCCCTGAAAGAGAATTTTGAAGGCTGGGAAGAACCAAGTTTTTAAAGGAATAGGTGTTTTGGTTTGTTGTTGGGTTTGGTTTTTTTCTTGGGGGAGGGGCGGGTATTTTTGTTGTTCTTTTCACATTGTGTTTAATTTACTGTTGGTAGGATTGTGCTACCTTTTTTATGTGCTGTCATTTCCAATAACACTATGAGGTAAATATCTGTCTTTTGAAGTTTTAAGTTTATATATTTTCATTTGTTCTTATTTTGACGCCACACCCAGCAGTGCTCTGGGCTTCCTCCATTGCTCAGGAGTGATTTGTGGCGGTGCTTGGGGGACCATATGGAGTGTCGGGTTGAATCTCAGTTGGCCAGCAAACAAGGCAAAGCGCCTTACCAGCTCTACATAGCCCTGGCACTTTATGTTTATATTTTAAAATATTTTACAGTTGAAGTGGGCTGGAGCGATAGCACAGCGGGTAGGGCGTTCGCCTTACAAGCGGCCAACATGGCCGACCCGAGTTCGATTCCTCCGCCCCTCTCGGAGAGCCCGGCAAGCTACCGAGAGTGTTCGATATGCCAGACACAGTAACAACAAAGTCTCCAATGGAGACGTTACTGGGCCCGCTCGAGCAAATCGACGATCAACGGGAGGGCCTTTACCTTTTTACCTTTACAGTTGAAGTATTTGAAGGGCAGAGGTAAAATCGTCAAGGAGTTGACCTGCCTGATTTCACTGCAAAATAATGAATGCCCTTTGGCCTGTGGTTCATCTTTTGTTATCATATATGGTTTTCAGATATATTGTTTTTGCTGCTGCTGTTTTTTGGACCACAGCCAGTGGTGTTCAGGGCTGACACCTGGCTCTGCACTCAGGGATCACTCCTGGGATTCCAGCAGCCAAATGCTATTCCGGGGATCAGACCCGGATCAGCTGTGTGCAAGGCAGGCACCTTACCTACTGTAATATCACTCTGTCCCTTTAAGTGCACTTTTTTGTCAGAGGTCAGGCTGGGCATACCTAGGAGTACTCAGCTCTTGCTCCTGGCTCTGCTCAGAGGCCATTCTTTGCAGAGCTCCAGGAGTCATATGGGGTGCTCGGGATTGAACTAAGGGCCCAAGCTGCAGAACTATTGCTCTAGTTCTCAAATGCATTTTTGAAGTGACTTGTACGCAGGGCTTGGAGAGAAAGCTCAAGGGTATGGAGTGCTGTAGGCTCGAATTCAATCCCCCGACCACAGTAGGGTCCCTCAGCTTCATTGGCATTGATCTGAGAGACACCAAAGCACTGCCAGGTGCAACCCCAAAAGAAAGTATAAGGGGAAAAGTGCGTGCACTAGCTGATTGATTTCACATAATGAACATTTTGTTGCTCCACATAATAATGCAAGACTCCGGTTTATGGGGTGGTGAATCGATCTCCTATACTTGCATTGTTTATGTTTGCTTACTTCTCCTGACTCTGCGTTCAGGGATCATTCCTGGCGGTGCTCAAGGAACCATGTGGGGTGCTTGGGATTGAACCCACATTGACTGTGTGTAAGGCAAGCACCCTGCCCACTGTACTATCTCTTTGTTCCCAAGTACTTGTATTCTTAATTTTCCTTTTGTTTTCCTGTGTTTCAAGTAAATCATATTTAAATTGGTGGGAGGTCTCGGATGTGGTGAATGAACCATAGATTGTGATCAGAAGCTACTTCTGACACAGTGTTTAAGGATCACTTTTTCTTTTTCACTTTTTTACTTTGTAGTCACACTGGCGGTGCTCAGCACTTACCCAGACTCTGCACTCAAGATTATTCCTGGCCAGGAATAATAATAGGGGACCATATAGGTTGCTAGGGAATGTATCTGAACAAACTCCTGACCAGCTATACTCTCTCTCTGGCCCCTCATCGATCACTGGTAACATTGTTTTGGGTACCATGAGATGCCTGGATAAAGCCAAGCTTTTTGCATGAAAAATAAGCATTGCTATTTGAAATATCTCCCTGGTCCAGGACCATATTCTTATCACCTTGGTTCACATTTGTTTCTAAGGTGTTACCTATCATCTTTGTATCATCCGTCTGTTGTGACCCTCTTTAAAATATGAAAGTAATAGTATACAGAATATAACTTTAAATAGAACTAATATCTTGAAACTTGCAGAGAGGCCATAAAAACTTATTCTGGCTTTACTAAACAATTAGAACATTATGAGGTGCAAATTAAAGACCTTATAGAGAAAGCCTTGAATTAACTATCAGCTAAAAGGTCTGATGTCAACTCGACTTTTTTTTTTTTTAACCTTCTCTAGACTAGTGATGTGAAAATTGCTCCGAATGCACAGTTCTTTGTAGTTCTTGCTGATACTTTCCCTTTGTTTCAGAGGTAATTGATATCGAAAAGGAAGTTGAATAGTGTTATCTAGAAAACTTTTCCATCATGTAGAAATAAGGAAGCATAAATTGAGTAGGAAGAGCACGGACTTTGGTTGTCAGCACACCTGAGTTTGGGTTTTTACTTTGTTTTTGTTTTTTCCAGATCTGTGTTAAAGTTTGGCTTTGTCATTTGCTTGCTATCTGACCTTGATCTAGTTAATTAACTGTTGAGTGTTAAGAAGGGAATTAGGCCAGGGGTGTTAATTACTTACACTCTTACTGTTGTTGGGAAAATAAAGTGTGCTCTTACACATGAATAACTCCTATCTTAGTGCCTTGAATAGAGGAAATACTTAGTGTTCCCTTTCCTCCTCATTCCATTTATCTGAAATTCTTAATTATTTTTTTTCTATTCTAGGTGGATTGTAGACATGGAAGGTGCACCAGGTACCTTATATGAAGGGGAAAAATTTCAACTTCTGTTTAAGTTTAGTAGTAGATATCCTTTTGACTCTCCTCAGGTAACTGGCTTGCTTTTTTATTTTTGTTTTTGTTTTCTTTTTGTAATATTATCTTTTTAGATTATAGTAAAATACTCGATTAGTGATTTTTGATTAAGTAAAAACTTAGAAAAAATTATATAAATGGATTTGTTTTTTAACTTAATTTATAATATAGTCAAGCTCTTACAGCATTTTACTTTTGGGGGATTAGAACTCTATTGCTCTTACATTTTAAAGGAACGTTAGAGTCTCTCTTACAAGCAGAGCAAGGAATGGAAACCTAACCCAGGCCCATTGTTTGTGGGAGTGCTTAGCATTTTGGAGATCATTCTCCTTAAATAGAATGGTAGAATAACCTAGTGAAGAGGTAGTGTTTTATGCTGAAAGGAACATTAGTTTAATTTTGCATTGGCATACTGTCTTTTGTAGCTTTCTGATACTGCTAGGGTAGATTGTAAGACATTAAATATCTGTACTTCAGTTCCAGGTTCAGTCATTAGTATTTGAGGCACAGTTTAGTTAAGAGATTAATACTTGGACAGGAACAGTGGTGGTGAAGGAGCATTTTTGAGAGCTGTTTATCTCTGGTAAGTGATTGACCCTTAGAGGTCAGAGAAACGGAGGCTCTAGAATGACTTCCAGATTTCTGGCTGGAAAGGAGTGTTCACTGAGCACAGCCAGGCGTGAGTTCAGAGCACCACTGGATGTGGATCAAAATCCAAAAAATATACGTATATAGGTTTTTATTATGATTTATTTATTGGGCCTAAGAGGCTTTTCCCAGGGGACCACTTCAGTGATTCTCAGCCAAGGGCTAAGTCCCAAAGATATGGTGCTGCTTGGGTCCTGCAGTGCTTGCAGCCACTAGGGTACCTAAGGGTGTTCAGGGACCACCAAAGGCTTAAGTGCTCAGTGATGCTTGGAGGCCTTGTGAAACGTGGTAGAAGTGGGTCAGTCTTAGGAAGGCATGTCCTAATTCTCTGCTATCATCCTGACCCCAGTATTTTCTTGATTGTATAGGGGTGTATGTGGAAGATAATTATTGTATTCTATAAAGGGAATTTTAAAGCATAAAATTCATTGGAAACTGGCTCCCTGTATTCAGAAGTTTCATGAAAAGGGGTGGGGGGAAGATTGGAGGGGAGAGGCTGGAGCGATAGTAGGTAGTGGGTAGGGCATTTGCCTTGCACGCAGTCGACACGGGTTCGATTCCCAGCATCCTATATGGTCCCCTGTGCACCACCAGGAGCAATTCCTGAGTGCAGAGCCAGGAGTAACCCCTGTGCATCGCTGGGTGTGACCCCAAAAAGGGAAAAAAAAGATTTGGGGAACTAAAATAGGAAATCAAAGGCTGTATCTCTGATAAGACCACAGCCAAGGCAAATGTCTTCCTATCCTACAGAAAAGACTGTTGCATTCATTGTTACTTTGAACTTAGCAGCAGAATTTCTGAGTATCAGTGCTTGAAGGCATATGGGTTTCATGCATCTTTTTGTCATCTTCTTCAACTAAATTTGTTGAAGGTGAAGGAATATGATGGAAGAAAACAGTTCAACAACTTAGAAGCATTTGGTTTAGGAGTCATTTGAGAAGAGAACTGAAAATCTTTGTTTGTTTTGTATTTGGGCCACACCTAGTGATGCTCAGGGCTCACTCCTGGCAGAGCTAGGAGGACTGTATGGGGTGTCAGAAATCGAAGCTGGGTTGCCCATGTTACAAGACAAATGCCCTACCCACTGTACTATCGCACCGACCCCATTAGTTAATTTTATTACAGCAGAATAATATTTCTATAAACATGTCATTTTGAAATTAAGACGAAAATGTTCTCTAAACTCTCTCCTTAGGATTCCCCCCCGCCCCTTTGGGGCCAAACCTCGCAGTGATAGGGGCCGTATTCTAGGGGATTGTCAGACAAGTGCTGTGCTGCTAAACCACATCTGGCCCCCTCCTGGATTCCCATGGAGTTGAATATAAAAGATATAACTTGGGATATAAGTTTCTTTATAGTCAAGTTTAAACTTTCAACCATGCCTTATAGTGTTCAGTATCTGTACTATACTTTTTTTTGTTTTGTTTTCTTTTCTTTTTGGGTCACACCTGGCGATGCACAGGGGTTAATCCTGGCTCTGCACTCAGGAATTACTCCTGGCGGTGCTCGGGGGACCATATGGGATGCCGGGAATCGAACCCTGGTTGGCCGCGTGCAGGGCAAATGCCCTTGGTGCTATCGCGCCAGCCCCTGTACTGTACTTTGTAACTTTCATCTCTTTGTTTTGTTTTGGGGCCACACAGAGCTTGACTCAGTGGTTGGTGGGGGTGATGGGGGGCTAGGGCTGGAACCCAGGACTCGTGTGCAGAGTGTGCTCCTGCCCTTTGAGCTATTTCTCCACCTCCTGTGAGTACGTAACAAAGTGTTTATGGTGACAGTTTTCTCGTTTTACTAGTGAAGAAAGGATAACCTAAATATTAAAGTGAAATATCTTGTTTGTGTTTTAAAAGCTAGTAGAGAGGGCTGGAGAGAGATTACAGGGATTCAGGCACTTGCTTTGTTCTGGCTTTCAAACCATATAGAGTCCTCCGAGCACTTCCAGGGGGTCACTCCTGAAATGGGAATAGCCATCAGGTGTGACCTAAGCATCTTCAGATGTGGCACTCCACTCCCTCAAAAACCCAAAGTAAATTTTTTTTCTTTTTTTTGGTTTTGTTTTTGGACCACACTCAGTGATACTCCAGTTACTCCTGGCTCTGCACTCAGGAATGGCTCCTGGTAGTGCTCAGAGGACCATATGGGATGCCGGGGCTGGGCCAGGTGCATGCAAGGTAAAGACCCTACCTGCTATACTATTGCTCTAGCGCCCCCCCCCCCCCACACACACACACCTATTTTGGGTATTTTTGTTTTGTTTCGAGATCACTCCAAGCAGTGTTCAAGGTTTATTGCTGGCTCTGATCAGGGATCACTCCTGGTAGTGCCAGTGTTTAGGGAACCAAGTGGAGTCCCAGGGATTCAGCCTGCGTCATCCATGTGCAGTGCACTCACCCTATGCACTACGCACTGTACTGTCTCCAGCTCCAAAATAAATATATATAAAACAAAATTGAAAGCTAACCAGACTAGTCAAGGCTCAAACTCATGGACAGGAGAGAGAGCTCAAAGGGTTGGGGCACATTCCTGGTATGGGCAGGAGCCCAGGTTCCAGCTCTGGTACCATGTGACTGCCTGAACACAGCTGGTCAGAAAAGGTATCACTGTGTAGAAAAATACCTTCAAAGCTCTGGGGTTGTTAGCAGTCACCTGGGCTATGAAGATAAGTGTCAGCATCTGTTTTGTGATTTCTCCCAAGTTGTAGAAGTTAGATATACTCCAGTATACACTATTGAGAAAATGTCAGCTACTATGATTCTAGTTATGGTTAAGAAAAAATTTTGTTTTGCTTTTTTTTTTTTGGCTCACACCCAGCATTGCTCAGGGCATACTCCTGGTTCTGCAAGGCAAAATGCCTTACCTGCTCCGACCCCGAAGGGGAAAAATGATTTTGTTTAGTTTTCAGACCACACTTGGCAGTTGCTCAGGAGTGTCCTGGGTCTGCACTCAGGCATCTCTCTTAGTGGGGTTTGGGGAACTGCATGGTTGCCAGGCTCAAACATGGGTTTGCTGTATGCATGGCAAGCACCTTGCCTGCTGTGCTAGCTCTCTGGCCCAAAAGAACCAGAGAGATCCCTTTTTAGCTTCATCGGTTGGCGCTCAGGGGCTGCTCCCAGCTCAGTCCTGGGATTGGGGCAGTGGGAGGTCACTTCAGGAGTCTATTTGTGCTGGTACTCAAACCTGGGCTTCCTGCAGGCAAAGCATGTGCTCTGGTTTGTTGAGCTCTCTCTTGTACCCTTCGTTTTTTTTCTCTCTCTCTCTCTTGCACCCTTTATTTTCTTTTTCTTTCTCTCTCGCACCCTTCATTTTCTTTTTTTTCCTTCCCTCCCTCTCTTTTCTTTTCTTTTCTTTCTTTCCTAGGAATTAAATCCAGGGCTTCATACATGCAAGGCAAGTTAAATTGTTTTTAAAAAATATTTTATTACCTATATTATCTCTGTGGTTATAAAATAATTACCGTGGTTTCAGTTGTCGGTGCTTGACAGACTCATAGATTGCAATATTTTTTTTTCTGGTAACTGCAAGTTTCCAGAGGTCCTTCGCTTTGTGGAAATGTCTAAAGCCATTCTACGTCAAGGCTTCTAAAAAGTGTTCTGTGTTGTAACTGCAGTTTGTTTATATCTTTACAGTAAATTGTGTTAATGTTTGTGTTTTGATGCATGAAGTTACTATCATCACCAGTAACGTGTCTGAAGACTTTTTCCACCATTCCACCACTGTCCTCATGTCACTTTCAGTCCACTTCTTCCTCTTCCCCACTATTTGTAATCTCAGTTTTGTAATTCAAGCTCAAAGGCTTGTCATCATTTAATACTGTCTGTTTTTTTGTTCTGTTTTTCTGTGCACCACAGATTTGTCTTTCTCCCTTAGCTATAAGACTGCAGCATTTGTCTTTCCTTATCACTGAGTAGTGTTCCATCCTGTGTGTGTTTATTTACACTACAGTGTTTTATCCACTCATCTGTCCTAGCTACTTTATTTAGCACTGCAGTAAACATAGGGGTTTATGTATCTTTCCCAGTTTTTGTGTGTGTATTTTGGTGGTAGTTGGCCTGATGTGGATTGCTGTGCTCTATTCTTAGAGGCTCTGTTCTTTTCTGTGAAGTCCCCTTACTGTTTTCCATACAAGCTGAACCAGATAAGATTCCTACCAACAGTGAATGAGACTTGTTTTAATGTTTTTTTTTTTTTTTAGTAAATTTTATTGAATCACCGTGAGATAGTTACAAGCTTTCATGTGTGGCTTACAATCACACAATGATCAAACACTCATCCCTCCACCAGTGCATGTTCCCCACCACCAATATCCCCGGTATACTTGTTTTTTACACATACCACCAACCCTGGTTATTTCTGGTTTGGGCTTGTT